GGACACGCGATCAGTATGTGGGAATTTCCATTAGGGAACAACCTCTGCTATTGCAGAACAGAACGAACAGTTCCCTGGCGTGAGTGTGGCGCATGTTTCATGTAAATTTTGCAGTTTGTCCCTCCAAACACCTCCGAGCTTAAATAGCAACATCATTCCTGTTGTTTTTCAATGGACCATTCATTAATGTCTACAGTCCTCAGTTTTTTGGACCTTAAGTGGTTGAGTTTCTGAGACCATCATGTGGGTCCCTGTAGTAAATCTGACCTCCATCATTCTGCATTACAAATACGTTTTTGGGGTGCGTAATAACCTTATATGGATGCTCTGCTGTCTTTCAGGTTTCCCTTGCACGCGAGAGGGGAGCGTTACCAGTTTGAATATGGCGTCTACCTTCTTAACAAGAATATCGCCCAGGTAAGGTGTTCCCATTACATCCAGCTGGATAGATGGAAATGTTTCTCTTCTATTTCAGTTTTTTTGCTCTTGTCTTTGTTTGTTTTCTGGTTGTAAAACTTGACACTACTGTCTGTGGGGTTAGTGAATTATCAATGTCCATAGCTAGACTGAAACTTGTGGAATTCGAGTTAAAGTACACTACGTCCTCCATGTTCCCATTTTCTGTAACACTGCAGATGCTAATCTTCACTTCGTCAAAAGGTACAGTTGAGTCTCGCGTGTCAAAGCTGTTGGATCTCTTAGTCTGGACTTCTTTCGCAAGTACCCCTCTGAGGGGAAAGCCTGAAACTTGGCTGCTCGGAGTGTGGCTAATGTGTTGACCTACGGTGCTTTTACCCCTTTAAAATCGTTTAGCAGCAAATGTAACAATTTGCATTCCATTCCCTCCGCTTTTAACACTGTGGCAGGAGTGAGGAATCGTCATCTCTCCAGCGAATTAGCAGGCAATTAGCCGAAACAGGTGGCTGGGTTCAGATGACTCTCAGTGGGAAGTTTGATGTGATCTGCTGCTAAAACATCCAAACCACAGTTTCATCCTGCTGTACACCTCCTCTGTCATGCCTGTTCATTAAAAATAGCGCCATGGGCACTGCAGCTCATTGAATTACTTCAGGCTTTAGTGTTATGTAAGCTCACAAGTGGTGGAGTTTTTTTATGCTTGTGTCCAAATTGGGAAAATGGAGGCACCTTTTGCCAATTTATGTGGGGGGAAAAAAACATTTCTAGCAAAATTTAGCATCATGGTTTGATGTTTCATCATGTCATTTTTTGCAGCTCAGCGCTCTTTTCATAGTGCAGCTCCATTGAAATATCAAACCCCTGACGCCAGATGATTTTACCCTGCATTATATACTAAAGAGTTCAACAGTTGGCCATTGGGCTTAAATGTGTTGCTCAATAGAGTAGTATTGTTGCAAATTCTAAGCTTTCTGTTTTTATGTCCTCAAAAGTATGTGTGTACAAAGTTTCAGCATTCCAGCTGCTTTCAAACGATCTCCATCATAATATAGTGCAGTTTGAAATATGGCCAACAGGCGGCCATGTTCAGTGTTGAGTTGCGACGCCTCATACAAATTTTAATCTGTACATCCATATGTACCTCCCCACCAAATTCACATTGATAGCCTCTGTGGTTTGACAGAAGAAGATCAAAATTAAAGCAGACGCCAACACCGACGCAGACGCCGACGCCACCTCGTGTTCATATGCTCCTTTTGGTCCGTTGGGCCAGGCGAGCCAAACTGTGACTTGGCCGATTAAGATAAAAGCTTTAATGAGGCTCACAAAGGAAACGGGTCTCGGTGCCCAAATGGAATGCCATTGCTCAATGCTGATTGTGAAATCGCAGAATGTTAATTTTTTTTTGTGTTTATTTAACCTTTATTCAACTAGGAAGTCCCCTGAGATTAAAATCTCATTTCCAAGGGAGATCTGACCGAGATGGCACCTCAGTTACAGTTTAAGTGGTGATAAAACACAACAGACGAGGAATACATCATTTATAATGATAGTTTAAATAAAAATAAAATACTACAGGCAGAGAATAGAAACAGCAAACACACAAGGAAGAGACTAAATCCAGCTCAAATATGGCAGTTGCATATCTCCGTTACATTGACTTTGATCGTGGCTTTAAATTCATCCAAGGGGACTAGTTTATATACAGTGCCGTGAAAAAGTATTTGTCCCCTTCCTGATTTTTTTTTTTTTTGCATATTTGTCACACTTAAATGTTTCAGATTATCACACTAATTTTATTATTAGACAAAGATAACCAAAGTAAATACAAAGTGAGTTTTTGAATGATGATTTAAGAAGCTATCCAAACCTACCTGGCCCTATGTGAAAAAGTAATTACCCCCCCCCCCCCCGTTAAATCATGAATTAACTGTGATTAACCACATTTTTTGAGTTCAATTTCACTAACCACACCCAGGCCTGATTACTGCCAGACCTGTTGAATCAAGAAATCACTTAAATAGAACCTGTCTGACAAAGTGAAGTAGGCTAAAAGATCTCAAAAAGCAACAAATCATGCCGTGAACTAAAGAAATTCAAGAACAGATGTGAAACAAAGTAATTGACATCTATCAGTCTGGAAAGGGTTATAAAGCCATTTCTAAGGCTTTGGGACTCCAGCGAATCACAGTGAGAGCCATTATCCCCAAATGAAGAGAACTTGGAACAGTGATGAACCTTCCCAGGAGTGGCCGGCCTACCAAAATTACTCAAAGAGCGCATCAACGACTCATCCTGGAGGTCACAAAAGAACCCAGAACAACATCTAAAGAACTGCAGGCCTCACTTACCTCAGTTGAAGTCAGTGTTCATGATTCTACAATAAGAAAGAGACTGGGCAAAAATGCCATCCATGGGAGAGTTCCAAGGTGAGAACCACTGCTGACCAAAAAGGGCACAAAGGCTCGTCTCACATTTGCCAAAATACATCTTGAAGATTCCCAAGACTTTTGGGAAAATATTCTGTGGACTGACGAGACAAAAGTTGAACTTTTTGGAAGGTGTGCGTCCTGTTACATCTGGCGTAAAACTAACACAGCATTTTATAAAAAGAACATCATACCAAAAGTCAAACATGGGGGTGGTAGTGTGATTGTCTGTGGCTGCTTTGCTGCTTCAGGACCTGGACGACTTGCCATAATTGATGGAACCATGAATTCTGCTCTCTACTGGAAAATCCTGAAGGAGAATATCCAATCATCAGTTCGTGACCTCAAGCTCAAGCGCACTTGGGTTATGCAGTCGGACAAAGATCCGAAACACACTAGCATGTCCACCTCTGAATGGCTTTAAAACAAAAAAAAAAAAATGAAGATTTTGGAGTGGTCTAGTCAAAGTCCGGACGTGAATCTGATTGAGATATTGTAGCATGACCTTAAACTGTAGGTGTAATGTGCGCTGCAGATTATTGCAATTCCGGGAAGAAAGTAGGCGAAGGCTTTTCAAATCATTTCATGAAGGGTATCAGGGAATCACTATATTTCGATGTGAGATTTTTCCATTGCTGTTTACATGTGAATTCCTGTCACCATCTTCAATTTTCCAATATTCAGACGCGGATTGTGCATTTCTGCGTGTTTGGCTGTCGGCAGTGTTTTGAGTGCTCTGTGCTTTGACTTTATGGAATGGGTCCTGTCCTTCACCAAGATCCCGGTGGATTTGCTTTGCCACACACTGAATGTTGACAAATAAACTCTTTGTGACTTCATTCACAAATGATGCATCCGGATGGAGGTTTCAAAATGCGTGAATGTAATGTAATCCATTTTGAGTGACTCAGTGATATTTTATTCACTTTAGTCTGTTTGTTCTACATTGAATGCTCTTCTATAGGCAAAGAGGCATGGGTCTCGTTGACATGCAGACAGTGCGCTTGTCCGTTCAGCTCTGCTGGCTGTGGTCTTTGTGAGAGAATGATTGTCATGCAGGAAGTCCTGGCCTGTGGTTTTCAGAGGCCTCCGTCATGGGACTCAACCAACGCAGAGACACCTCTGGGAGAACTGCATGCACCGCAGAGCCCAAGCCTTGACCCTCAGCAGCAAATGATCTTGTCTAGAGTCCTTTTTTTCCCGTCTTTCCTGGTTCAAATTGCAGGCATGCAAAAAGGCACTTTATCCGAATAGCCACCCAGGAACAGGGAAGCCGACTCCGGTGCGAGGGTAACGGAGCATGTGTCGAGTGAACCGTGGATCACAGCATCGCTCTTTTCTCGGAAGAGCCAATACGATTTGCGGGTTTTCCGTTAGCAGCTTACATCTTTGTAGTTTCAGGCAGCCAGAGCCCCTTTTGTGGTGTTAATATCTTCTCCTTTTACACCCTGAGAAATTTTCCGCTTTGATATTTTCTCCCGTTTCATGCGTGTTGGTGTTTAGGGTCTGACATTTGTGTTGTTTTCGCCTTCTATGATCTTGTTTTTTCTTTTTCTGTCAATGTTGCTGTCAGGCCTGTTATGGTTGGAGAGAGCTCACCTTACATCAGGGGGATACAACTCTCAGCTTCACTCACTCCTCTGAAGCCTGCCTATAACAGAGCTCTGCTTCTATCACATGCGCCAGCCATTAGTTGCTATTTTTACCACCATTTTCTTGAGGCATGTATGACATCTCCTACAGGGAAATTGACAGTCTAAGTCCTAATTACAATGCACTTCAAGAACTGTGAAAGCACTGAGCGAAGGCTGGATAATTTGAAGTATGTAGACTGGAGCAAGACCTGTCCTCACTTGAGGAAGCATTGGTCAAAAGAAACCTTCTGTGCCTGGGTATAAGAGAGAGAGATGAGATACACTTTATTGAACTCCGTGGGGTAATTTGTCCTCTGTATGTGACCCATCCTATAGTTAGGAGCAGTGAGCAGCTACAGAGCAGCGCCCAGGGACCAACTCCAGTTCTAAAGCCAGTTCCTTGGTCTGGGGTACTGGTAGGAGTGCTCCTATGATCCATGTTTTTGTGGGTGGGTGTAACCAGAGTATCCGGAGGAAACCCACGCAAACACGGGGAGAACATGCAAACTCCGCACAGAAAGGCCCCAGGCCGGGGTTCAAACCCACAACCTTCTTGCTGTGAGGCGAGAGTGTTAACCACTGCACCACCGTGTGCCACTTCTTGTGGTCTTAGGAAGCCATGTTGGTTGGTTTTTTAAATGCATAAAGTAACCTCTTCATCATCATGCACACTCACAGTTTACTTTCTCTCTTTCTTTGCTTAAATATGTAGTACTGAGTTTTGTAAACCCAGCATTGCAACCATGCTCTCAGGGCAGCGGTTTGTTTCCTTTGATGAGGCCGTGGGAATGGTTCTTGTTACTTTTATGGGGTTTATTCGGAAATGGCAGCTTTATTGACCCTGAATATTAGAAAATTGATATTGGTTTTCTACTTGATGTAATTTAGCAATAGGCAGTTTGAGTGGGCTGGTAGTTATTATTTTGTTTTGAAAGTTGTAATGTGCTCCTGAATTGGCCTGCTATGCATTGGCGTTGTCTGGTTATTGAAGCAAACCAGAGATCTGGTTTCACTATGCTCTCTGTCTTGGATGTGAAAGATTAGGCATATAACTTTTATTAAATTGCCCCTTGTTCTGTTTGAAACTGATACAGGGCAGCTGGGTGAAGGGCTACGGCACGAAGTTCCTCTTTGAAGATACCGCCGCATAGTATGTTGTTTTTATTTATGCCACATGCCCGGGGTAACTGGAGACTGCATTCAGTCAGGTGTTAGCAGGTCTTGCGCTGGTTTTTGTCCCATTTTGATAATGAGAAAACATTATTTAACAAAAAAGAAATAGTTCCTGTATATTGACCTTGAAAAGCATTCTTGCCATCTTTTATAAACTATTCACCGCAGGTGGGAGTAGCAGCCCTGCATCATGTTCTGATTCCTCAGCTGCAATATCCCATGTCATTTTCAGACCCCGTTTTTCGATGGCACTGTCGTGCATTTGGACCCAAGGCACCCATGTCTTGGAGTTCAGCGATTGCTTATTTGTTCCTGTCTGCTTTGTTGTTGTCTGGTTTCAGTCTGTTGTTGTACCTGTTTGGAGCGTTGGCAGGTCCGGTGTTCGTCTCTTGGAAAGCTTGTTGGATTTCATGCTGCGTCACTCAGTGACTTCCTGAGGCCAAACCCCTGAGCTCTGCCGGAATAGAGCATGTCAACCACCATCAAGTAACCAACAACACAAAACTTCAGAACACAAAACTTCACGCGTGAACCTGTTTTTGCACCAGCAGGTTACGCAAGTGAGAAATTTTTCCTAAATAAAGCACAGCGCTCTGGATCCAGTCCAAACTGTTTTTTGGTTCTCGTTATTTTCCAGACATGGCATGTGGAGATTTTTATATAGAAATGGTCTGCACATGCTTAAGCAGATGGTTTCAGTGGAACGGTGCAGGGAATATAGACCTGAAATTATGATGGGTTGAGGGTCTGCGTGGTGTGGGCCCAGTTGAAAATAATGTGTACTGTGTACGTGCGTGCCTGTATCCCCCAGTACTTCAGATCCTGTCGTGTTTTTCTCCGCTGGTGGTCCCAGCCTTGACTCTGTAGTCCTGGCTGTTTTGCCTGTCAGTTGCACTGCGGTAAAAGAGCTACAACATTTGGGTGACTTTCCGCACAACATTTGCTGTACCTCACACAGAAACTTGTTCAATGGAAAAAAACTGCTGGACTCATGAGGGCTCTGTGCCCTGTTATCCTGCATGTCGCTGTGAGGAGTCTGTGGCTTTCTGACCCCAGGTAGGCGATGAGAGAAGTCCGTATTTCCGCTTTTTTGCTCTGTAACTGCTGACCGGATATTTTTTAACTTGTATGTTTGGTTCTTGGAAAAGAAGCAGCCAAGGTAAACATTGTAAATTCTGGTTCGTGGAGAGGAAATGGGCAAGACATCGACAACTTGCCAGGCTTGAAACTTTTGTTTTGATCGTCCATGCAGAAAGCGTACAGTTTCCTACAGTGCGAGCAGTCCTCACCCATGGAAACTTCCAGATGAACTTTGGCGGGGAACATGCTAGATATTCCTGTTCCCAGATGGGCTCTAGTTCATTATCTCATACTGTGTGATTGCAGTTGGAGGGAAACCAAATCAAGCAGACAACAAGGTAATGGAGTGCACTCGTCTGTGTCTCTGTGTTCCTGATAAAATGAGCCTTTTGTAATGGTACTTATTTAATTAGGGCTTCAGCAGGGGCACAATAGTTTTTTTTTTTTTTTTTTTTTTTTTTTTTTTATCCCACACCATGGCACAAAATGGAGGGGGGGGGTGTATAGTATGGGCGGTCTGTCCTTCCATCAGTCTGTCCGGATGACTGGGGACAGGTCAAAAACGGGATTCCATGGTGGCAGGGGACATTAATGGCAGTGTAATCTTGTTGTTTATATAGCAGAAAACAAAAATCTGCTAATTAACGTAGCATTTCCTAATATTAAGGTATATTGCCTGTGATCTACAGCGTATTTATCCTCAAAAAAGTTCATCCAGAGCATTGCTAATGGATGTTCAAAAATTCGTGCCAAATGTCCACAGTTAGTGATATATTTTTGATTTGCATCCTATTTCCCTAGCACTATGCCTTCATTCGTTTACACAAGCTACTTAGCTCTGATTTTAAACTAATTTATATGCACATTCCTCTGACTGTATTTTTTTTTTTTTTTTTTTCTTGGATGAGGTCAGCACAGTGTCGAATCAGTCCGAGCGATTCGCTTCACTGGACGGTGCAAAAGCCTCCTAAGTTTAAGAATCCTATGTGGAAACATTTTAATATATTTTCTTGAGATGTGCCGGATTTGTAAATGCACACCATTCATTATTCATATGAGTTTAGAAGGCCTTGCATTCAGTGAGCTTGAGGATGAGTGGGAGGATTCTTGGTAGTTGCACTGTTCCATGGTTTTGTCTAATTAAATTCGGACAGGTAAATAAAAGAGGATGAGAAAAGACAGCTGCCCCAATCGGAATTTCAGTGAAGTGCCTCAAGAGCCAAGAATATCTAGAAGGTTCTATTCCAGTTCCTTACCCTCCCATTTTGTGGAGGCTTGTGGTTTGTGATTCAGCCCTGTGTGGCCCAAGAATCGTTCCCGCAACCAGGCAGTTGCTTCTGCAGATCCCTCTGCACAAACAGACCGTTATTCCTCTAGTGAGACCCTAACAGCCTAATCTTCACAAGCAGCTATTCTGTCCCTGACGTAGTGATGGGGTGCAGTGTTTGTTTATGTGCCTCCATGAAGGATCTAGAATTTACTTATTTTCTGTTGCCCTCCTTTTTCACTTTCCCCTTTTAATGAGTGTGCTTTACTTTGTAAAGATTTTGGCAATGGTGAAGTACTTTATACAGCTCAGCCCATAGAATGAACGTGACACAGAGAAGTCTTGGAGCACAGAAAAAGATTCAGATTTACTTTATCGTGAGATATTTGTTGGCTGAAATTTGTTGCCTCATGTGGTCAAATGTGAAAGTACAGCTCACTAAATGTAATGTGGTTTTCATTACTCCAGCCTGTTAAATATGGTTTACACTGCAGAACCATTAAACTACAGCTTCAAGATATCCATTCTTTCTGCACTTAAAAAAATCTTTTTTTTTTTTTTTTTTTTTTTTTAACCATACTTTGTCAAATCTTGAGCAAAAAAATATTTGGCTGGCTCCAAATTGTTGAATAAACCCATGTAAAGTTATACCTTGTGTTATAGGGATTGTTTGCTGGCTTGAAATAACTGGTCCAGTGACAAATGGCTGTGAGTTTGCCTCGTTCTGACAGATTTATGAATTGAAAGATATTTCTCTGAACTTGCATAATCAAGTGTAATATCATATCCTCCACTGTTGTAAATACCAGTCTGCATCCTCTTGTCTTTTTGTCTTTCCCAGCTGAATTTTAGTTTGGTATTTTTCCAGAACCATCCGTGCGTGAGTCTTTGGGAAGTACTCTATGTGATGGCTTTGTGATTCGAACTGACAGAAAGAAATGGTGTTTTTGATTTGTCAAGATTTAGGGTGTGTGCATGTGGGGATATCACTGCATTTTATTTATTTTCTAACTTTCCTTAAGCTGTGGGTATTTAAATATGCAGTGTCTTGTGTTTATTTTAGATGGTCTGATGTTTCCTCTAGGACTGTAAGTGTGATAAATAGGCTAGGTAAGATGCTGCTTTCTGTAGTGTGTGAGGCTGTGAGGGTGATTATTCCCTTTTGTTCCATGCATGACACCCAGCAGTAAACAGTCTAGACTGTAAATCACAATAGGTCTCCTTCCTCTTTGTATCATGATTTATATTATTTTGCACCTATGCTTTTCTTAATGTGCTTCAGTGAGTAGAATTTCCTTATGTGCTCGTGGCCCAAAAATTTGCGGTTCCTTTTCTTCCCATATTCCTCTGGAATGACCGATTTTAAGAAGGAGGCACCAGAAGGATCTGATTTGACGTTGCTCATGAGGTTGGTGGTCAGCTCCCTGCATGAAGGCTGGGTTCCGATTGGCCGAGCTTGAAGGCCCTGTTTGGCGACCACTCTGATGAACTACAGCACCTTTGTGTTCATAAGCCAACATTGAGTTTTATCTGGGTGCACTCACTGTTGTATTGCTTTTCTGCAGAGCTCTTTTCATGGTTGCTCTACTTGTGATCAAGACCCCTTTTCTGAACTGACCACTTGGTGCTTAAACACCTGCTGTTTACCCAGCCTGAGATCTTTGCAAAGCGTATCACATGCTTTTGTCTTCAATGTGATTTACTGTTCGAAGTGTCTTCCTGCCACAGAACTCAAGCATGATACGCGTACAAAGCCAGTGTTACCAGTGTAGGTTTCTCTACAGCCCCGATAGATCACATTGCTGAGGGTTTAATGGGGCTCCTCCCAGTGTCTCCGCTCCTCCTGCTGTGTGAAACCCTTTTGGCTGTGCAATGATGCCCTAATTGCTTCGGCAAGATGGCGCAAGGTCACCAAACCCCATTCTGCTTAGTCTCTACCAAGGAGATATAGTGCTGCCTCCAGTCTGTATGTATCATAGCAGCAGTGCACAGGCCCAGGCTTGTGTTCTGGCTAGAGCTGTCATTTAATTACATACCTCGGGCTGCAGTTATATACAACTGGCTTGCGGTTTCCA